AAAAGTCAGGTGTGCTCATCTTCTACCCTATTCCCTTCCTAAGCCGCACTTATCAACCTCCTGCTCCAGGGCTTTGCACTTGCTGTTTCCTCTGCGTGAATGCTCTTCCCCCACATACCTGCACATCTAGCTCTCACTTCCTGAAGTGTCACTGTGGCTCAGGACACATTTGCTAAAGAAATAAAGTATTCAACTCCTGAGGACATGGGGATACACACACATACTCTTTCCCTAAGAAATTCCCTGAGCAAACGTTTCAGACCATGCGGCGAGATAAATCTTCCCACAAGGGCTGCTGTTCGTACCTCCAGATTTTAAATCTCTCCCTTCCCCAAGAAGCAGGCTCTATTTTTGAAACTTTATTATTTTCTCGCAAAATAAAAATGACTATCAAAGGAGGTGGCATCATATTTCCTGGTGCTCTTACCGTGTTGGCATCATGTTGTTCTTGCCCTCCCCACACTGCCTCCTGTAATCTGCACACCTTCCCTGAGACAGGCTGGTACTACTACCGTTTCATAGTCCCTGTTAAGTCACCAACTCACATGTGACAGAACTGGGATTTGCACCCAAGGACTCCGAGACTCCATGGCCCACACTCTTGACTAATCTGGACAGGAAGTGAGAAAGGTAAACTGGCTGTAATTCTCATTGGCCCCCAAATGCCTTGTTATGGGTCAAGTTGTGCCCCCGCCCCCAAAGGATATACTGAAGTCCTCAGAATGTGACCTTATTTGGAAATGGGGTCTTTACAGAGGTAATCAAGCTTAAGTGAGGTTGTTAGGTAGACCCCATCCAACATAACTGGTATCCATATCAAAAGGGAAATTAGGGACACAGAGACAGATAAGGACAGAAAAAGACAATGTAAAGACACGAGGAGATGGCAGCCATGTGACAACACAGAGGCGGAGATTGGAGTGGTGCAGCTACAAGCCAAGAAATATCATGGATTGCCAGCCACCACTAGAAACTGGGAAGAGGCAAGGAAGGATTCTCCCCAGGGGGTCAGGGAGCACAGCACTGTTAACACCTTGTTTTCTGACTTCCAGCCTCCAGAACTGGGAGGGAGTAAATTTCTGTTGTTTGAAGCCCACCAGTTTGTGGTATTTGTTAAGATGCCCCAGGAGCAAATGAAGCTATGCTACAGCGTTCAGATTGCACTCTGGCAATGGGACTCAGAGAAGGCTCCTGACCAGAGAGAAGGCCTGGGAAGGGCTCCTGTTTCTTGTGCTGTTTCAAATGCAGGCGATCTTCACTTGCAGATCCCATTCTGTGACTTTGTTCCACGCTGTGGAAGCTGACGGCTGCATCTGGATATGCCAGTTCCTCATCTGACAACTGTGAGGTGAAATGACTTCCTCAATGAAACTCTGAATACCCAAACTTGGTGCCCAGTCAACCCCACACCCAGACTCAATCAATTCTGCTCCTAAGTCTGGAATTGCCAGCCTCTCCAGCCCTGGTGCCAAACAAAGTGGGTGTCATCAAGGGCTGAGGACACTTGGCTTCTGCTGGCTCAGCTTTCAGACCTTGGCTGGTTCTGTGTCCAGACAGAAGGCGGCCAAGCTATGTACACACTACTCCAGAGCTCAGAGGACTCCCACGCGTGAAAAGTGTTTTCATTAGCAGCTAATCCTGAAAGCCTCCAAGCCCCAGAAATCTAGGAACTGGGGGCCCAGATTCTACTCCAGGACAGCCTCATTCCACAAAGCTTGTCTTCTAGTTCACTTTTACTTCTCTTTTAGAAACAATTGTGAAAAAGGAGTCATTGAATGTGCAGTCCTGCAGATACTGCCCATGCGCCTCCTCTCCAGCTAATGGAAGGCCGCTCGTCAGTCCTGGGGGTCAGACAGCCCCAGAGAGCAGTGGCCACAAGAACCACCTGGCCACTACTAAGTGAGCAGAAATACCACAAAGCAAAGGAATGGGGTTAAAGGGAACAGGAGACCCAGGTTGACTTGAGAAGGGTCCCAAGATCTGCCTTGAAGGAAACACAACTCACTCCTGCTGGCTAGTAATATGTGAGCCCAGTGCCCTCTGACCCAAGATGTGAGGCCCAAAAGATTGTTACGCTTACTTTAATGTCCAAATGAAAATCCACAGGTTCATGATTCACATCTTGAGGAGATAAGAATGGAGGTGCCACCCCAGCAGCATGAGGTGAAACTGCTAAGTTACTGCAGGGCAATGCTGGAGACCCCCACCTCCTCTGCAGGGGAAGGGGGTACAGACAACTAACGAAAAGTCTCCTTTAAAAACACCATTGTAGGTGATCCCACTCCCATGCAGCAGACATGCAGAACAAAGTTAGGGACAGGGACCTGGGAGGTGCAGGGCAACCTGACTGCCTAAGCCACTGTCTTTCTTTTCTGTGTCACCAGGGCTGGAATAGGAAAACCCAAAGTTCTGTTCTTATAGAACATCCTGCCATTTCATTAGGAAACCAACAGAGCAAAATCTGTGGGCTGTGTCTAAAGTAGCCCAAGTAACTGATCTGAAGAAAGCTAATTCAATTCAAATATTTGCTGGGACCCCACTATGTGGCAGGCCCCAGAGAGCAGCATGCTACACACACCAGCTGCCACAAAGGCACCAGTCCAAGGTACCTGGAGGCCTGCAAAATAGGCAAAGCCATGCAAGGTCAGTTCTAAGGTCCGCCATCAGAAAATCTGCAGCCCTGGAGCTTCATGTTCACACGTAAACTCAAACTCTTCTGTGCTGGACTGACTGGACACTTAAGGACAATAAAGTCAGAAAACAAAACAAACCTCCCCTTGATTTTACTATGTTGTTAGTTACTTTTAAATTTGTGCTTCTCACAAGTGGCAAAAACTTAGAGATGACAAATTCCTAGAAGTTCAGCTATGTTTCTGTTAAAAAATCAAATGCCTCTTAGTACACTACATGTATTTTATGGTTATTATTTCAGGTATTTGAAGTATTAAATATTGACCTTACTATTTTTGTTCCTCTTCCTACGGTTCCTCTTTAGAACAGAAATTCCCTTTTATCCAGAGATTTCCAAGCTTCTGTCATTAAGTCTATTATAGACTTAACACCCCAAACTTATATGCCCAGATGCCTGCA